TAGTCAATATTGAGTTTCTCAAATTGAACTCTCAGTAAGTTGTCTACACAAATGTTGTCAACGAAAACACAACCTATCACTTTCCAGAGTGAATAGTAAAAGTGCGTTTGGAATCTTTGTGTGAAAATACGCACTTATATCGTCTCGAAAGAGTTTGAATTGAGTCTTGTCATGCTCGAGAGGGTTTATCCCGTTTCTTCTATAAAGGGGGCTCAAGTGCTTGTTCAATAATGGATGTTTGCCTCATTTGGAAGATATAGGGTCTTGGTGCGTTAAAAAAACATCGAAACTTGATTAATTGGAAGCATGACACTGAATATTCATATAATAGTATGAAACAGCGCTATATGCTGTATGGTATATACAGGAAGTACGATGTTTTTTGAAACACAATTAATCACTCTCGAAAGTGATAGGTAGTATTTTAGTGACAAGATTTGTGTCGTCATCGCCCTGAGTTTTATACGAAATATTTCGATTAAAAATATCAATATTGACTAACTATGAAGGATTCGTGAATCTTGAAACTATATATATATATATATATATATATATATATATATATATATATATATATATATATATATAATATATATATATATATATATATATATATATATATATATATATATATATATATATATATAAGAAAATGAACACTAGAACATTCATTTGAAAAATTCAAATTAATCAAGAGAATGTTATAGTAGAGCTAGATATGTGAACGTGTACGATGTGATGTCTCTCCATCATTCTTCAAGGGATAGATGTTAGAGAATTATTGAAATCGATGCCACACCTGATGGAAGTGCGAGACATATATGTTTCGTTCTACAAGGAACTCGTCAGTCGCACCATGTCCATCGAAGTGAGGCAACGATTTCAACCCCCAAGCATCTTCTTGTGACTCCAAGTGGAAGACCGTAGAGTTATGAATACTCCCCAATTCCATCTATAGGAATCAGTAGAAAACACCTCTCAGATTATAGACACACCAAGCATCGAAATTTCAGATATCTTCTATACCCGTAGGTATAGAAGATATGTGTATATATATATATATATATATATATATATATATATATATATATATATATATATATATATATATATATATATATATATATATTTTTCTGACGAGTTTCTTGCAGAACGAAACATATATGTCTCGCACTCGCACTACATCATGTGTGGCATCGATTTCAATAATTCTCTAACATTTATCCCTTGAAGGATGATGGAGACATCACATCGTACACGTTCACATATCTAGCTCTACTATAACATTCTCTTGATTAATTTGAATTTTTCGAATGAATGTTCTAGTGTTCATTTTCTTAAATATTTCATTCAGTGCCATAAGCACAAAAAATTTCATTTGCTTATATATATATATATATATATATATATATATATATATATATATATATATATATATATATATTATATACATATAAACTTAACATGAGAATATGAATAGCATTTCAAGGCATCAACAACTGTTTCTAATCAAGCATTTCATTGCTTCTTTTTAATTAATCCTTGAAAGAATTGAAAAAATATGTAATGTAAAAATGATTTATTGGTGTGATAAACGGTATTTTTTCATTATCCTTGTGTTAATGCAGCAGCATAAAGTCTCAAGTGTTCCTGTTTTGCAGCAGCTACTTCAGGTGTATCGGTGGGGAAGACGTTAACTTGTGACTTTTGTAATGGGTTGTAGTACCACTGTTGATCTCCAACTCTTGTTTGATAATTTGTATCTAACTGTGGTAAATTCTTACTGATCTCTTCTCTGGCTTTCAAGTGGGCAAGCCTTGCGGCGTGTACTTCCGGTGTTTCGCCAAGTTCGCTTCTTGGAATATCTTCAGCGAATTCTTTTATTTTAGCTTCGGTGGGAATTTGTTGGGGGTGATTCTGGAAGTGAGGCTGTTCAGTATGGTATTGCGGTTGTACATTCTGATACTGCACTTCATGTGAAGACCAATTATTTTGGACGGGGTTTTGAGTTGTTTCTGATTGTATGTACCGTTCTTCTGGAGAAAGTGTGGGTAGTATGGCTAAAACTTCCGCATGGGCTCGATAGTGGGCTAATTTCGCTTCAGCTACAGCGGGAGTGTCGGGAACTGATTGCCCAAGAACGTGGTTAGCGAATGGTCCACGCCATCTAGGACCTGGTACTCCAATCACTGACGAAGGTTGTTCAGAATCCAATGACTGTGCATAACTAAATGCAAATACAGCTGATAAAATGAACTGAAAAAGTTGACAATTAACACCTCCATTGTAAGAATACTCTGATAATATTGATTCTGTCTTGATAAATATGCATAATTTTGAAAATTCTAATTCAACAACAGTTCATCCGAAATATTTTAATTTGCTTTGAAGATAATTTTGAAATGAAGAAATCTCTAGGTATACATAAATTTTCGTTTATTGAAATTGAAGGATAAACAATGAATTAATGCAAAAGAAAGAAATTAAGAATTTCAACAAAATCAATATACCCACGTGATATATTGAAAATTATAATATATTAGTTATTGAAAATCTAAGGGAAATTAATGATTATATTTGATAGATTTTAATTTGGAGTATTATATTCAATATAGCATACCAAACACTGAATATAACTGAGCATTAAAAATAATTCAGAGTAGCAGAAAATATTTATCACATTTTAACATAGAAAATGAAAAAACTCGAAAAAAAATGGGAAAATGTGCCACATAAAACCATTGCCCACATGGTCGGAAATTTTTAAACCAAATTTGCTGAACATTAAATTGAATACTCACAAAATTATTCATGTTGAAGTAAAGTGGAGTACTGCGTGATTACCGAAGACGGTTTTCGATATTTATAATGCGGTTGTAGCAAAGTGAGCGGAAAAAAGTTGATTGTTTTTCTTCGGGCTTTTTGATGAAATCCAATGAATTCGTGAAAACAAGTTTAGATAATACCAGAAATAAGTTTTTAATTGTCAATAATTAGAAATGAATGTACTATTCATTATTTTTTTGTACTATTTTAAACTAGCTAATGGAAGAACGCAAACTTATTTTCTTTATATATATATATATATATATATATATATATATATATATATATATATATATATATATATATATATATATATATATATATATATATATATATATATATATATATATATATATATATATATATATATATATATATATATATATATATATATATTTCAAAATTATATTTATATATATATATAGTTTAAAATTGATTTATTGCCTGTTTAAGATAGTTTATTTTCAATGATTTTAGCAATAACAGGCTTATTTTAATATTAAAAACTTTATTTTCGTTGACGTTTCGTTGTATATCTATCACAACTTTATCAAAACAAATGAACAATTGAATTTTATGAATTACTATAGATATCAAAACGTAAAACTTATTTTTTAAAAAAATCAAATTAGTTTTTTTGTATTTTCACATATTGATTTTTAGTATCAGAGGAATATTTCTTCATCTGATACTTCTTCTTCACAATGAATATACCTCTGAAAAACTCATGGTAAGCCAGGTGATTCTTACATATATATATATATATATATATACCTCTGAAAAACTCATGGTAAGCCAGGTGATTCTTATGAGTGTGATTTATATATATATATATATATATATATATATATATATATATATATATATATATATATATATATATATATATATATATATATATATATATATATATATATATATATCGATAAAGGAGAGGTAGTGATTGTAGTATTATTGGACTTCAAAAGAGCGTTCGAAACTTTATGTAGATCATTGCTGTTGAAAAAACTGAATAAAATTGGTTTTGAAGGTTTAGTGAACAAATGGTTCAATTCTTATTTACAATCGCGATCTCAAAAAGTTAAATTCAATGGTGTTATTTCGGACAGCATTGGAGTTGATTTTGGCGTACCTCAGGGTACGGTCTTAGGTCCACTACTATTCTCCTTATACATCAATGATATTGTTTTGCATGTGAAAAAATGCTCTATACGATTGTTCGCAGATGATACTATGATTTTTATTAGTGGTAAAAATATCCAGACTATGACAGAATGGATCAATAGAGACTTGGCAGCAATAAATGAATGGCTAAGCGATAACAGTTTATCGCTGAATGTTAAAAAGTCTAAATTTATAGTTTTTGGTACAAGTAGAATTCTTAAGGTAGTTAGTAATGAAAATATAAGTATTAAAATTGAAAACCAGAACATTGAGAGGGTAAAACTTGTTAAATACTTAGGCGTTATGTTAGATGAGAAATTGAGTTTCAATGATCATGTCGACTTGATATCGTCTAAAATCTCCAAGAAAATCAATTTTCTCAAAAGAATTGGGAAAAATCTGACCACATATATGAAGTTATTGCTCTTTAAGTCCATAATTATGCCACACTTTGAATATTGTTCCACTATGTTATTGGGATTGAGTAAAGAAAAAACTCAACAGTTACAAAAGTTACAAAATAGAGCTATGCGAACAATTTTGAAATGTAATAGATATACTCCAATCCAAAGCATGCTAAATTGTTTAGAATTGATGTCAGTCAAACAAAGAATACTTTTTGCTACATATATATTTATATTTAAAGTTAAAAACAAATTGTTCCCATATAAAGTAATGAAAAATGTAACATGTGTCAGTGATGTGCACAGTCATAATACAAGAAATGCTGACAATTTCTACATGCAAGTTTCTAAGCATTCTAAACATAGGAATAGTATATTTTATGAAGGATTTAACGCATTTAATAAATTGCCTAGCTCCATAAAAACAATTAGCGACCTTAAGGTATTCAAGCGTAAATTAGCTAAGTTCGTTTTAAACATAAAATTGTAAATAATATACTTTGAACCTGAATGTATGTATGATTTTGTAATAGCTAATGCTAAAATAAATATTATTATTATTATTATATATATATATGGCAAGCAAAAACAAGTACATTTCTGCCGGTCTTCTTGGCTTAGTCGGCAGAATATCCGACTAAGGTGCGGTAACACTCGGGTTCGAACCCCGATGAAGGCATGGTTGTTTGTGTATATCCTGATTTAAGTAGTTTCAATAATGATATATTCTGGGAAATGTACGTTGATTACAAGCTCAATAGGCCTTCTAGAATCTTCTAGAATCGTTACATATGAATAAATCAAAAAATTCCGGACTTTTACTCAATAGCCAATTAGAGGTTAATACTAGCCCTCTACTTAATATGTTGAATAACAATACTCAGGTAGCAGATCAGATTGATTACCTATTTGTTAATTTACTTTACATTTTATGTTTTTCGATGTTCAAAAATTTTAATTTTTCTTTTACTGTTCTCAGAAATCTTATTTTGTATAATTATTTTGTATCTTTTCCTACATTCTTAGTTGGTATATCTGACTTGAGAAACTGATCTTCTGAATTTCAGGTATACGATTCCATAAGGATTATCCAATTTGACGTAGTCTTCGATTTATGTGCATAGGTACATAAATTAGGTACATAAGCCTACATACCGGTAGGCGATTTTATTATATTTTGAAATTTTGAAAAAAATTTAACGTGCTAATATTCCTACAATATTTTCTAACAGAATCGAAAATATTCCTCTGCTCCTTCTAATTGATTGGCGATGGGTTCAAAAATATAACGATACAATTTGCTCGTCTCCGTTTTTGCACTGACCTAATCGTGTATTGAAAGACTTTAAAAGTCTCAAAGATATTGAAACAGTCGGATATTTACTTATAAATTTTATTTTCACATAAAAATTTTCTTGTGCTTATATAAATATCATAGCTTTAACAGTCTTATTTCTAATTATTCTAATATAAATATTTCATATTCTTTTAACTTCATAAGGGACATTTTTATAGCCATTTCGATCAATGTACGTGTAAGTACCCCTTGAAATTCCGTCTCTATACAAATTTTCTGAATAAGAATGGAAGGAAATTCCAAATGGAGTTGCTGGTAACGATGTTGGCTCTGCTCTACTGCTAAAATAAATACCCAGAGGATGGCAAGAAGCAGCAATGGCCAAGAGTAGCAGACAGAAAATCTGAAAAATAAATAAATATTCATTAGATATTTGCATTCAAGAAGATTCAGTTATTATGATAAAAAATGTTAGAATGTTTGTATAAAATTATATCTATTCTTTTCAAGTTTATGGAAATTGTACATAATCCTTTAGAATTTCGAGTGTCTTAGATCTGGATATCTGAATTGGGAATATTTAGATATGAATTTTATTTCGAATTTAAAATACAGTCTTTACAAGAAATAGCTCTTTCATTTGGTGGTCATAATATGTTCTTCTCGTTCAATAGAAATTAAACTAAGGGCTCTACGGTGTCTCATCCAGCCACTCTTCAGCTTCCACTTGGTCAATAAAAATGGATGGCACAAAAAAGCCATGCGAAAAAACAATTTCTAGGCACTTAGTTACATTAACAGGAATATGAATGAGAAAACAACAAAGAATAATAGTCCCATTGCGGAACCCTGTGGTAAACATTTAGTTACCAGTCTCCGTTTATACCAACAGATCTTGACATACACTCAGTGTAATATTTATACATTTCTGAAAGTATTGTATAACAGAAGTGGATAATAAATTTTCAAAATTATGCATTTTTCGAATAACAATATATTTTGAGGAAAGACCTATCTTCGCTAAGGACATTGAATCAAAAGAATTCATCGATTTTTTCAGTCAAATTTGAAGTTAACATTTTAAATAAACAATATAAGACAAAAACCAAATTCTAATTCAAATTTATACGCAAAGGAGATTTTACAAATTTATGAACTACTGTTTTGTTATATTCAATTTTTTCCTACTGGATCCGAGTGATAGAAAAGGAAAATCATAAACTTCATAGCGAATTAAGATAATATTCTTCTGTTTTCAGAAGACTATAAATGTTTGGATAATTTGCAATTGAATATTTAATTAGAAGATAAGTAGAAAGTGATGATTTTTCGAAATGCTTTGTGATTATAACATTAGGATTTTCACCCCATTCTGAAATTCATTTTTAAATTTAAAAACTAAATTTAATTTTTTTAAATTTAAATTAAATTTAAAAATTTAGTTTTTGAAATTATTTTAAATAGTAGAAATTTGTCAGTTCAGACCTATCCAATTATATATTCATTATTTTGATCTGAAGACATGAAATTTTAATAGTAAGGGAAAATTAATAAGGAATCAGAATTATCTTTCAACAAATTAATATCCTATTAGAGAGCTAGAAAATATCCTTTTCTTATTTTAATTTATCAAGAAAAACGTCTCATAAATATATGAAATGAATAAAAGAGGTTCATTTGGAATATTTAAATAACTATTTGTATAAACTCACCGTAGCCTTCATGTTTCTAATGTGAATAAACGAGAGAATAACCATTATTTTACAGCTTTTATATTATATACATTTTACTCCCGGAGACATATTCGATACTCAAATATGATGATTTATATCTAATGAAGAGCAATATTTAAGGTAATTGATAGATATTAATATCGCATTTTTGAATCTAATGCTATTTTCTTCCTGAACTTCAATTTTATATTGATGCTCTATTAATTTCATATGATTTTATTGTTTCCTCTGCACAGTTAAAACAATTGACCCAATATAAAAGTATTCTGATTCCTATATATATATATATATATATATATATATATATATATATATATATATATATATATATATATATATATAATATATATATATATATATATATATATATATATATATATATATATATATATATATATATATATATATATATATATATATATATATATATATAAAGAAATATAAAGAATATTGTTAAGTAACTAAGTATTAAATATTATGAAATCTTTCGGAAAGCGGTCTGTGGGAAAATGAAAACTCTTACGTTCTCGTTTAACTCAATATTTCGTCACTGTAAATTTGTGACTTCATCAGGAGTACACTAAAATAAAATGAAATTACAAGTATTGGTAAAATAAAAGGAACACATCACAGAACTTACAGATATAGAGTCTCAGGACGTTAAAAGACAACAAAGATACACTGTGGGTACCGTAAGACTGAGTCATGGTACTACGTGGATGTATTAGGTACATACTTTTTATGATTCGGCAATAGATGTTACTAAGTTGGCCCGTATCAGTTTTATAGTTGACACAATTTTTGTTTTTCGCTATATGACACATTTCCAGAAAAGTCTTGTTTTATAATTGCTGTGATAATTGTCTCACGTTATTGAAATCAAATATATGTCCTGTATCACTATGGTGTTGCACCACTGCACACGAATTTTTACCTAAACGGCAATCGCTCTTATGTTGTGTAACAATGCTGAAACAACGTATTACACAACATAAGAGCGATTGCCGTTTAGGTAAAAATTCGTGCCCAGGACATATATTCGACTTCAACAACGTGAAAATTATTGACCAACACAGCAAATATAAAACAAGACTTTTTCTGAAAATGCGTCATATAGCGAAAAACAAAAATTGTGTCAACTATAAAACTGACACGGGCCAATTTAGTAACATCTATTGCCGAATCATAAAAAGTATGTAATACATCCACATACTACCATCACTCAGTCTTGCGGTACCCACAGTGTATCTCTGTTGTCTTTTAACGTCCTGAGACTCTATATCTGTAAGTTCTGTGATGTGTTCACAATATTTTATATATATATATATATATATATATATATATATATATATATATATATATATATATATATATAGGTTTCAACAATTTATCGTAAATTTTCAAGAAAAAGATGAAGGTTAGAAAAGAAAACAAAAATTCTCATGAAAGATCAGGAAGGTACATGATTTTCCGTAGGTGCAGTAAGCACATAATGAAATTATGGATAGAATGGTGTTATCAGATCAATAATAATAACATTAGTACATAAAGTAAGACAACAATGCTCAAATTCAAGTCTTAATAGCGTACTGGTTATTATAGTCCGGCTTTATAAGACCAAAAATTCCAAAACATCTGAAAAATGCTATGAATATTCAGAATACTATCAATAATGAATTGTGAAAAGTCCAGATCGATCTTCCTTGTGCAAAAAGTTTTTATGCATTTTTCAACGGTGAGTTTTAAAGTATAAATAGCTCAGACCAAAATTGAAAATCGTCCAATTCTCTACAAAAAGTGCCTTCACACTTTTTCCAGAAGTATCTCTTTTGGCAAATTGAAGTTTTGAATGGGTAGAAAGCATATATTATGTGCGTTTGATGGTCTGAAATGTAAAATACATCATATAACATGTTCAATTTTGGAAAATATAATATATTCATTGAAAGAGAATTCGGAATTAATCTGGGAACTATGCGAATTATCTAATTCGAGGTGAAGATGATGATGAAGATGAAGATGAAGGTAAAGAAGAAGATGAAGATGAAGATGAAAACAGTTTGAAGCAATCAACAGTATAAGGTTTGGAATTCACACCAAATTTCGTTAATTATTCAATTGATGATTTTTAGTATTCAATTTTATTGATTTTATAAATAAATATTTATATTTATACTTTTTTTTATTTATACCGGTAGGTATTTATTCATATCTGGAAATTTTGATCAAAATTATGAATTATTGCTTTGAAATGAAAGATAATAAATGTAGAGACTATTCAATATTATGAAATACAAAAATAAAATGAAATTTGAACGATTTTTTTCACATGGTTAATTATCAGCCTAATTTTGTAGAAATTAAAATAGTAAATCCGAAAACTTAATTTTTAATTTTTTTCATTAATTCCCTTGTAGTATCTACACAATGTATTAATTTTTTACTACAGTGAAAATAGAGCTAGAATATTACTAGAATTACTTCTAGTAATTGATTGAAATTAGTTACTGCAATATATCTATTATTACAAGCTATTCAAGAAGAACTATAACAAAGATAACAATTTATTTATCGATTTTATTGAATTCAACTCATTAAATGTGTCAAATGATTTTATGCCAAGATTTTTGTTAGTTTCTCGTTACAATA